AGGGCAGGGGCGGGGGCGGGGGTGCAAGGGCCGGGGCGGGGATCTGACAATTATTAATTCTTTTGGGGCCCAGGAAAGAGATTTTGGGGAAAAAAAAAGTGGTTCCCCACATTCTCCTCACAAGGAGTGCAGGGAAGCCGATTTTTCCCCCCCCAATATTTGGACTCCCTGGGTTCAGAGGGTCGGGGATCCCCGCGCCAGGGGTCGGGGGGTCAAACCGCAACCACGGCTCGACCCTTAAGGATCCCTGCATGACAACGCTACTTGCACCCACTTCTCCGAAAAGGAAACTCCCGCCGTCTTTCCTTTTCAGGAAAGCGGAGGTGATCAGTGGTCCATTGACTTACCGTGAGGGCACGGATGCGCAACCCGTAGTTCGTTTGTTGATGTGGTTCAGGTAGGGTAAGGTAGCGATTATGCTGTATGTATGTTTTGTTGTGTTCGCTATACACAACTCAAAGAGAGTGTGTGTGGGGTCCTGGTTGGTGCTTTATTCACGATGTTCATGGGATGCTGGACCCAGTTTCCAGCAGGCGGCGCTCCCCATCAATAGACAGGAGAATGTGTGTGGGTGTGTATGTGAGTGTGAGTGTGTATGTGAGTGTGAGTGTGAGTGTGAGTGTGAGTGTGAGTGTGTGTGTGTGTGTGTGTGTGTGCTGTCTCTTATACACATCTAGATGTGTATAAGAGACAGCCATTAACCACTGGTGTGTCTGCCATCCTCCTCTGCCCGTGAACTGCTCCCTCCCTTGGTACCGTGCCGTGTTGCACCACCTCAACCTTTACCACCTGCTCAAGGGACAGTGGCCCATGACTTCATCTACGCTTCAAAAACTGTACGTTCCAACAACGTATGAAATGCGCGGCTCACCGACGACCAGGATGAGAGAGGGAATCGCCTCTCGATTATGGACGAATATATTTGTTGACGAAGAGAGAGAGAGAGAGAGAGAGAGAGAGAGAGAGAGAGAGAGAGAGAGAGAGAGAGAGAGAGAGAGAGAGAGAGAGAGAGAGAGA